ACAGGTCCATGTCTTTCTTATGCTGAGGGCTCCAGAGCTGGAGGAATCAAAAAGGAATTGTGTGAAACAAGAGGTATTTTAATTGTTTTTTATTTGTCCAAACTGTATGTTGCTGAAGTTTAGAGCTTGTGAGTACCAGCAGTGGCCCCAGAGGAATATAAACTGCAGTGAAACATTAGCCCCAGGTTGAATTCTTAGTTTTCTGCCATAAGTAAAATTTCCATCTCGTGGACCGAGAGTTTAAAAATCAGCCAATCAACATAAGTCCATTCCAAATATAAGAAAATATAACTAATATAACAAAACTACACTAAACAAAACTAAACTAAACTAAACTAAACTAATTATATGGCTTATTTACCTGTCATGCTGAAGGTCAGGTTACTGTGGAGCTGATGACCCTTATCACCTGAAGTCTATTGCTTTGCACAGAAAAAACACAGAAGAAAGACACACAATATTACAGCTAAGGAACACCTGTAAAAACACTATAAAAGCACTATAAAAACATTTTCAGACTCTTTGTTTTATTTTTATTTTATTTTAGGGTCTTTTATTTTCTTTCTTTATTAAGCTAAATGACTGAAAAGTCACTTCCAGACTGATGGAAAAGTCTTCTATTTTTGCTATTAATTTTTGACTATAAATCTTGCTAATTTTTTTTTTCTTGGAGAACCTTGCAAGAGGTACTTCCATATTGCTCCTCTGACACTGATGGTATTAACGCACGCATTTTGGAAGAAAAATATAATTTCACAGATTTCCCTGAGAGCAGCTACAAAATAACCAATGTTTCCAATAAACCTGGTTAAGAATATCGAAATAAACTAGTGCTAGCATTTGGGTTAGGGCTGTCAGGCTGAGCCACCTGTTTTGGCAGTATTTGCTGCCAGAAGCAAATTATAGATCCGTCCAACTGCTGATTAAAAAATCATACGCACATCGTCTCCTTGCTGTGGCTAACCAGAAGCCAATCTCTAATAGCACTTAATGCAGTTCCCCTTAAAAATATTAACAATGAAAAATGGAAGATGAAAAGTACAACTTTCATACACTGAAATGCCACATAACCTTGACAATTAGAATAAAAATAACTTTCAGAAGACTGTTTAAAAGCTTTTTTTTTTTTTTTGTAGTGTTATTATTAAATTTGGATAAACAGTGGAGTAATCCACACTGGGAAAAAAAGGTTGGAATGAAATTCAACTAAAATATTCAGTATTAAATTTAAAGAAGGTTGCATTTTAAATATATCCCCTGTCTGCCGTGGTTGATAAAATATTGTTATGTATGTAAAATGTTATTTAAATATGAATGGTCAGGAAATATTAAAGTACATGAAATATTCATATTTTAGAATATGTATTTACTGGTTAATACAATTGCCTTTCATTCTTGCAGGCCTAGCTCTGGCATACTTATTTCAGCACAACTTTCACTGACTCCTTTAGAAGTCTACCTGAATAAAGGATTGCAGAGTTGATAGCTTTTACCCTTCAGTAACTTCATGTACAGTTCACAAATACTCTGTGCTCCTTATGGAAAAATCAGGGCCACCAAACTAAGCTATTCTGTCTCTGGCAAATCTCCGATTATAAGGGACTACCAAAGCCATACCTGAGCAAAGGCTTGAGAGCGGAACCACCTGACATTCAGACATTCCCCTTCTTGTATCACTCTAATGGAGCTGCCTAAGCAGTGTTGTTCTGCAAATGAGACTAATGCTATTTTTAGAGGTGTACAGAGCTCTAGCTTCAGTAACTGGTAGAAACTCAGGCTACAGGAGTGAAAAAGAAAAACAAAAAAACAGGAAAGAAAAGTAGAAAGCAATGCAACACAACAAACGAAATGATCCTGGAGTGAAAGCGTTATTTGCTAAGAGCAACAAATCATATTGACACACTAGCTCAATTACACTGTCAAAGTACATATCATTTTTGGTTAATTATATTTGAAAATATTTACCATACCTTCTGCTGTAATCTCGGCCATGATGATGATGGTAAGAGATACTCTGTTAAAAAGGTCAAGATCTACTGTGGCAGCTTAGATAATACTTCTGGGTTGCTTGCTCTTGCAGGAGCTGCAGAATGAGGAGGAGGGAGGTCCCCTGCTTTTTCTAATTCTGTTCCTTCTTCTTTTGCGCCCCTCTGAACTTTCTGTTTCCTCTGCAGACTCCTGCCCTCCCAGAGCAACCTAAGGCCTTCCAGAGGCAAACACTTAAAGCTCAGTCTAAAGTATCAGCTTCTAACAAAAATAGCCATGCCTCACAGTGAATCTTCAGCATGTTTTTCCTAATATCCTAAGTACTGTGCACACTACGAATAAAAAGTAAAAAGGTCCAGCTCTAAACAGGACAGGAACGCATGGAAAGGCAGCAAAAAGCAAAAGAACTGGGAAAGAACTGTTTAACGCTCCTACAGCCTCACTAGCATAATTGCTGTTCTTTGGGGGGTATGTCAGGAAACGTGAAATATAGAGTTCAAAGTAACCTTATCCATCCCAGCTCAACTTTATTCTTAGCACACTCAGTGCTTAGCACATTCTTCCTGGCCTTATTTGGTTTGGGGAGGGTCCTATGAAGCTTACCGCTGACTAAGGGGGAGGGTAAATTTAGGTGATTTTCTCCACTTTGATTCTTAGTCGCAGTTCAGAGCCGATTAAGACACCACTTTAAACCTATGAATTTGGTAACTTCTTCAGTTTGGATTTTTTTGGTACTCTTCTGATTTGCTGCAATTTTCACACATACCTGTGAAGTTCATCTAAGTATTACAGAACACTGTTAAAAATGTAAATAGTAATAGTTTATATAGTCTAAATGCATGAAGGTAATATGCAAAAATATTAAGCGGATCAGATTTTTTCTAGGTCTGATTCATGGAAACAATTAAACAGCTCAAAAAATCTGTGATTTTAAACAAGATTTTATAAAACTGAAAACAAGTAGGCTTTTAAAACAATTTAGAAGAACAAATATATTTATATTAAATAAGAATAATGATTTAAAAACCTGAGCAAACATTTCATTGCATTGCTTGCAATTTCACAGCTGTGGAATTATGTATGTGGGCAATAGCTTGAAAATGAAATTAGCAAAAAAGTGCCCTTGAGCCAGCATACCTCTACATAAATGTCATCGTCACATGAAATCAGAAACCGTCTTAAACAGTTCTTACTAGGGAACCTATGGTCAGCTCGTCGCCACTACATGGGCTGGTATTTGCACTTCTCATCTTCTCCCAAGGAGATATAAGCACCTGGCTCTGTGGCAGAGTATAAGGAAAGGAATCTATTTATCCAGTGCACAAGATGTGGAAGTGAAGGTTCACTGAACAGTTTACAGTCGCCACCAGGATTTTTCTCTTCCCTCTACTTTCACACACTTCAAACCTGCCACATGTCTGAAAATGTTAGCCTTTTCTAGCCAAAGCTTACAATCAGTGCTCCATCCCCTTTCTTCTTCAGCTCTACTAAGCAAATCTTTTGCACTGACAGGTTTTGATTACTCGATGCTCAGTAGTCAGTGCTTTTCTGATCATCCTCCTAACCCTCTGTTTGCTCCTTTAGCCTGTCCTTCAGAAGATCCTCCTCACTAAGGCTGATGAAAAGATTTTAGACAAAACCTTATTCCTTCAGAAATACTCCTTCATGAATACCAAAATGTTCTGTGGAATCACATTCACATCAACAAAACAGCTGCCCACAATAGCTTTGTGGTTAGTAAAGTGTGCTAGGATGTGTGATACTAAGGCAAAGCCAATTACTTCTTCCTCTTCTGCTGGAGCAGTTCCATTTTACATGAACAGCTAAATGCTTTGGGTCATCTGTATTTTGACAGCTATGCTACTTGCTTGAGATGTGAGAGATATCATCTCAGCTGAATGCCTGAAGCACAGAGCTAATCAATATTGCAAAGTCAGGATTGCTTTGACTTGTATTACTACACAAATTGAAATAAAATAATAAAGGCTCAGTTTGGATATATAAGAAGACAGAACTGGGGAAAATATTTATGCCTGAATGTGCTGATTTTGTCTGGGATAGAGTTAATTTTCTTCATAGTAGCTAGTATGGGGCTGTGTTCTGCATTTGTGCTGGAGACAGTGTTGATAACACAGGGATGTTTTAGCTACTGCTGAGCAGTGCTTACACAGAGTCAAGGCCTTTTCTGCTTCTCAC